GCCCCGCCCCTTCCCCTGCACCCTCCTCTTCCTCCTCCTCCGCCTCCTCCGCCTCCTCCTCCTCCTCCTTCTCCTCCTCCTCCATTTCTTTTCCTTATACATAACTTCTCCCTGTCACACCCCGAGGCCAGTTTTTATGGCGGGCTCGGCGTTTCCCCAAAAGACTTCCTGATCATTTACGACTCTGAAACTGAAAAATGGCAACGGTTTCACGGATTCAGGGCGGGTCGTTTTCAAAATGTGGCTCTTGCCTCAGCGCGGCGCACATGTGTTCCAAGCATCTGAAAAGGTTCACGGATCGAGGGGGTGTCGTTTTCAAAATGTGGCTGTCGCCTTAGCGCGGCGCAAATTCGTTTGAACAACTTGCAAGAGTTTCGCGGATTGAGGGCGGTTCCTTTTCAAAATGTGGCTTTTGCTTTAGCGCGGCGCAAATTCGCTGAAAAAGAATTACAAGCTTTTCGCGGATTCACATCATCAACGTGTCCAAAACAGTGTTTTGAACAGATTCAGGCTTACGCGGGTGCAGCAATTATGTTGGCTAGTTGTGTTGAAGTCCCAGGAATGGAATTTTGGAACGATTCAGGATTAGCAAGACGCGACATGCAGGTTGATCCGTGGCGCTGGAATTCCGGGAATAATGTTTTGGCATGCTTCAGGGTCTTCAAGCGGCTGTGTTCAAAAGAGGCAGTTCCTTCAATTGAAACGAACCGTTGTAGGGGCCGATGAAGAGGGCGCTCGGAAGGAGGATGTATTCCAACATCGTTGATGACTCTTGGGTTTACACTGGTCCTCCTCCTCCTCCTCCTCCTCCCCCTGCCCCCCCTTCCTCTCGGCTGCACGCAAGAGTGACCCCAGGCAAGAGTGACCTGTGGTGCGCGGCCTGAGAGGGGGCGCAAGGTGGCCAGATCCAAGCGCGCAATCAGCCGCTGTCGCGTCGCGCTCAGCGATCGGGGGGCCCCTGATGAGCCCGCACCAAGGTCACACTGGCGAAGGAGGAGGAGGAGGAGGAGGAGGAGGGAGGAGGAGGAGGAGGGAGGAGGGAGGGAGGAGAGAGGATGAGGGAGGAGGGAGAAAGGAGGAGGGAGGGAGGAGGGAGGAGGGAGGAGGGAGGAGGGAGGAGGAGGAGGGAGGAGAAAAGGGGTCACTCTTGCATGTGGTCGATCCTCGGCCGACCCGGAAGCGCCCCCACCCGCCCGGGCCAGCAGGAGGCAGGTGGAATGCTCGTAGGCGCCACGCCTGCAGTCGGGCCGGTCCCAGGGCAGTCGTTACTCCGAGTTGCTTCATAAGCGTCGGGGGGGCGCCACCCCCGCCGACAGCCCCACATCGACCCTTCGCGGGCAGCCACTGCGCGCCGAAGGCGCACCGACCCCCGTCGCGGCGCGACGACGAAGCGAAACTGTCCCCCGTCGGGAGGGGTACCCCCTCACGCTGATTAGAAAAAAACCCGAGTAGACAGGGGAATGAACAATGACATAAACAAAATGACTCGGAGGTCCGCGCGGGTTTCTCGGATCCGCGGTGGACCCCCCCTGGCGGCGCCTCCGGCGCCGCCCCGGGCTCGCTCCGCGCGCCAAGGAGGGGGGTCCAGCGTGGATCCGAGAAATCCGCGTGGCCCTCCGAGAGTTTATGGTTACGTCAGTCTTCGTTCCCTTAATTAGAGGCCTCCCCCGCGGGGTCCGAGCAGATTTTGTCGGAGGGTCGCACCGCATAGCCACTGCACTGCCGACGCATCGACAATACATCGGCGACGTCGGCGATGCATCGGCGACGTCGCCGTGGAGAAAGTCGCTCTCCACATCGAGCCGCATCACCGATGCATCGGCGATGCGGCGCGACCCTCCAACCCCAATCTATTCGGACTCCATGTCTGGGTGTTGCTGGAAGTGTCCCTGGCCCTTTCCAAGGAGGTCTCCACGGCCTCCAGAGCACTCCTCGCGAGGCCCAGGGGGGCCCCATGGGCTCAAGAATAGACCGAGAAGCTGGGGGCACATTTTGGGCCAGTGGCACCTTTAGCAAACCCCGACGTGTGAGCGACGAATAGAAACGGGTCTTACGCGGGATGACAGCGACCTTACGCCGCGGCTTACGCGAGCCGCCTGCGCGGCACGCTACATTGGAGAAGGAGGCGCCTACGCGCGACCTTACGCGGGAAGCTTACGCGTCCATCGAACTTGAAGGTCACATCTCGGAAATTAGCCTGGCAAAGGACCCAACCATACGCAGTTGTGAACACCGTCGTTGTATGCACAGCATTCGGATCAGCTGCCGATGGGGCTACCAAACGTGTGAGGGGTGTGCCAAGATGGGTTCGGTGGGCGCATGCGAACGCTGGCATATGGGCCTTCGGTGGGGCTCCCTGAAGGGGCCACGAAACAGGTGAGGGGTGTGCCAAAATGGGTGCGGCGGGCGCATGCGAACGCTGGCAGTTGGGTCTTCGGTGGGGCTCCCCCTATGGAGCCACTAAACGTGTGAGGGTTGTGCCAAAATGGGTGCGGTGGCCGCATGCGAACGCTGGCACGTGGGCTTTCGGTGGAGCTCCCCCGATGGAGCCACTAAACGTGTGAGGGGTGTGCCAACATGGGTGCGGTGGCCGCGTGCAACCGCTGGCATTTGGGTTTTCAATGGGGCTTCCTCTGGTAACACGAAACGTGTGAGGGGTGTGCCAGAATTGGTTCGGTGGCCGCATGCCAACGCTGACAGTTAGGCCTTCGGTGGGGCTCCCCGTGGGGCCACGAAACAGGTGAGGGGTGTGCCAAAATGGGTGCGGTGGCCGCATGCGAACGCTGGCGTTTGGGCCCTCGGTGGGCTTCCCTATAGAGCCACGAAACGTGCGAGGGTTGTGCCAAAATGGGTGCGGTGGCCGCAGGCGAACGCTGGCATTTGGGCCCTCGGTGGGCTTCCCTTTAGAGCCACGAAACGTGCGAGGGGTGTGCCAAAATGGGTGCGGTGGCCGCATGCGAACGCTGGCATTTGGGCCTTCGGTGTGGCTCCCTCTGGGCCCGGCCACGAAACGTGTGAGGGGTGTGCCAAAATTGGTGCGGTGGCCGCACTCGAACGCTGGCATTTGGGCCTTCGGTGGGGCGCCCTGTGGGGCCACGAAGCGTGAATTGTTGACTGGTTCGGAAGGCAGAGGCAGGGAGCGGAGGAGGAAAGGGAGGGAGGAGGAGGAGAAGAGGAGGAGGAGAACGCGGGGCGCTGTCTCTTCAAAACGAGGACCCAACACCACAGGACGGTTGGGAATAATTTCGAGCACCCAGAAAACTATCGAAACAGTGTCTGCCCTTCACGCTAGCAAAGTGTTGAACGAGTATCGCCTCCAAGGGCCCGACACGTGAAAACCATCAAGTTTCGGTACCTTCTTGGTGCTCAGAACTCTTTCCAGTGATCAAGGCCAAAGTAGGTGGGAATCTCATACATCGGGGGCGGCATCGGGGTGCGGCAGCTGCTGGGCCGTGCGCGGCGAGCGCGGGAGAGCTTGGAGTCCCGCAACGGTGCGGTGACAGTACGGTGTCCTCGAGATCCCCCAAGACCTCACCGCACGGTTTCGTCACCGCACGGTCCTGGGACCTCGGAGGCCCCGGTCGCCCGAGAAGTCCTGGGGGAACGACCCGAGTCCGAAAACCGTGCGGTGGCCCCGAATCCCCACCGCTGGAGGAGGAGAAGGAGGAGCAAGAGCAGGAGGAGGAAGAGGAGGAGGAGACTCACCACACGGTGTGGTCACCACCCCGTTTGGGGGCCCACGCCAGCGGCGCGCCCCCAGCGGCAGCACCCCGGCAAGGGCAAGGGGGGGCCCGTCGGAGGGAGGGGCGCGCTGGAGGGGCTGCCTGCGGTTCGGCACGTCGTGCCGCTCACCGCCAGGGCAGCCCCACACTGCAACCCTAATCGTCGTCGGTTTTCGCCGCCTTCGAGAGAGAGAGAGAGAGAGGAAGGGAGAGAAAGAGGAAGGGAGTGGGGGAGGGAGGGAGGGAGGGAGAGAGGGAGAGAGGGAGGGAGGGGGGAGGACGATGGGGCTTCTCGTCATCATTGGCCTCCCGGGGCCGACTTCGGGCCCCCGGGCCGTCAGAAGCGAGCTCGGGATGAGAAACTATCCCCCGGGGAAGTCCACCGGACGATTCCTCGACACAACCTGCAGAAGTTGCATTGCCTTTCCATGGGGATACGGATGGCTGGTCGCTGCCACAGCACCGTGGGGCCGATGATCCATCAAGGTCTGCGCAGGGGTTAGAGCCCCTGACGATTGAGGGTGGAGGATGCGTCTTGCTGACCGCCTGTGAGGCAGAGCGGCTCCTTCTCAAAGTCAGCAGGGTCTGAATAGCTGGGCCCCCAGGACTGACCCGAGGAGCACTCGGCTTCTGCCATTGGCCAACCCCCTGGGATGTACACGCACTGGTCAGCGCAGGCACGAGCCCGGTGCTGCCTCTCGGGCCGTCGCACTGTCTGGCCAAGGCTGGCCCCAACTGGAAGCTGCAGCATCCATGTAGTGCCGATCTCGGGGGAACCTTCTGAAGCGACCAGCAGACAGCGAAGTCGAATAGCCTTGCGAGCAGTGAGGAGAAAGAACTTGGCATGTTGACTTGGAAAGCGTGTCCCACGGATCTGTTTGAGTCTAGTGGGTGAGGGAAGGTCAAGGAGAAGGACGCGGAGGATGCGCACCCCGCGGGCGAGCTTGCGGCATATCACAAGCAAAGAGGTCGCAACATCTCACGGGCGAGGGGGCAGGAGATGGAGCAAAGAAACGAGGCGCGTGGCACCAGCAAGGAAAGTACGAATCTGACAACTGGGCGAGTGTAGACACAGGAGGAGCAGAATAGGCAGGAGCAAGAGGATGTGGACAAGGTGCTGACGAAAAAAGGTTGACGGCAACAAGAACAGTGTGCAAGACTCCCGTTCCACTCCCCCGCCCTCATGACTTCATCAATGGCTCGCAGAGGGGAGCAAACAGCCGGCGGCCTCGTTGAAGCATGCAGCATTCGCACTTGTACATCCCAATCCGTGCTTTTTGTTGCAGCCAGGCTGGGCGCTATGACTGAAATCTCGCCTCTTGGGTCAGAGAGGGCGTAGGTCCTGAGCCGAGACGCACGCTATTCACTTATCGTTGAAGGCCCGCGTGCGACCGACGCTGTCGGTCTGCGGCCTCCCAGAACGGAGCCCTAGCATGCCGGCGAGGGGGATTGGCGCGCAGAAGGGGGTAGGGGGGAGGGGGGGGGAAGCTTCTTAGAAGGAGCCTGCTTCTCGACGGCGCGGGCCTTACATCTATAGATAAGGCCCAGGCTTCCTCAGACGCAAGCACTTTCTCAGCAGCCTTGCCCCCTCCCACTACCCCCATCTGCGCGTGGCCGAGGGGAAGTGAGTGATGGTGGGCGGCTAGGTTGGCACATCCCGGGGGGGAAGCGACTCTCACTTCAAGCAAAACTGTGCGGGGTGGCTTTTCCTCCTGGCGGCCGCCAGGGCCCGGCAGGCAGGGAGCCAGGCCCACAGATAGCCAAGGCCCCTCCTCCGCACGAGCCGCGAGGAGCTGCAGGCGCTCCTGAAGAGATGCGAGCCGCTGCTCGCACGCATGTGGGGAGGAATGCAGATGGGAAGGAAGGAGAGGAGGAGGAGGAGGAGGAGAAGGAGGAGGAGGAAGATAAGGAGGAGGAGGGGGAGAGGGAGGAGTAGGAGGAGTAGGAGGAGTAGGAGGGGAAGAGGGAGGAGTAGGAGGAGTAGGAGGAGTAGGAGGAGGAGGAGAAGGAGGAGGAGGAGGAGGAGGAGGAAGAGGAGGGGGAGGGGGATGGGGAGGAGGAGGGGGATAGGAAGGAGGAGGATAAGACGCTGCTTTGCGCCGCCGCGCGTCAGCACAGGCAGGCGCAACAGGCGGAGAGCAGGCGCATCAGCCTCCCTCAAAGCTCCTGGCTGCACCCTCGCCCACCCGAGGGATCGCGGCTAGGGTGCGGAACACAAATATTGAGGGCAGCCTCACACTGTGAGGAATGTGAATGCAGGCTGCCTGTAAGTCTACTGCGGCTGCACAAGGAGCCGCAGCCAGTGGACTTCGGGTACTTTGGCATCCAGGAGCCGCGGGGCCGAGAAGGTCCGTCCACCCTCCCGACCTTCGTCAGCTGGGTGCGTCCCGGCCAGACACAGTTTTCTGTTACGGGCAGGGTGCGGCCTTCATCGGGCTCGCGGTTAATTAACAGGTGACCCGCCGTTCCTGTCGAGAAGAGTCTGGACGACACGCATAGGACGCATTGGCCTGGCGCGGCTCACAATCGGTGGCCACGCGAGGCCGAGGCTGGGACGATGCCAGCGCGCGGCACCACGGCCGCATGAGGAGGAGGAGGAGGAGGAGGAGGAGGAGGAGGAGGAGAGGAGGAGGAGGAGGAGGAGAAGACGAACCCCTGTGCTCCCCGCTCCCGCCGCCACGCTTCTCTCCCCCTCTCCCTCCTCCGCCTCTGCCTCCACATCCCTCCCTCCCAGGGCGCTGGGCGCTGTTGGCATCAGAGTCACCCGGGATGGAAGGGAAATGCGTGGAGAGGGAGGGATTGGGGCCATCCTCCTCCTTCTCCCCCCTCCTCCTCTCCTCCCCTCCTCCTCCTCCTCCACCTCCTCCTCCTCCTCCCCCTCCTCCCCTCTCCTCCTCCTCCTCCTCCTCCTTTCTCACTCCCTCTCCTCCTCCTCCTCCTCCTCCTCCTCCTCCTCCTCCTCCCTCCTCCTCCTCTCCTCCCCCTCCCCCCCTCGCGGCCTCCTCTTCCTCTTCCTCTCCTAGTCTCCTTCCCTCCTCCTCCCCCCCCTCCTCCCTCCTCCTCTCCCTCCCCTCCTCCTCTCTCCTCCCTCCTCCCTCCCTCCCTCCTCCTCCTGCCTCCCTCCTCCCTCCTCCCTCCTCCCTCCCTCCCTTTCCTCCCCTCCTCCCCTCCTCCCTCCTCCCTCCTCCCCCTCCCTCCCCTCCTCCCTCCTCCCCTCCTCCTCCCTCCCTCCTCCTCCTCTCCCTCCTCCTCCTCCTCCTCTCCACCTCCTCCCTCTCCTCCACCTCCTCCCTCCTCATCCCCCTCCTCCTCGTCCTCCTCCTCCTCCTCCTCCTCCTCCTCCTCCTCCTCCTCCTCCTCCTCCTTCTCCTCCTCCCCTCCTCCTCCCTCCTATCCTCTCCCTCCTCCCTCTCCTCCTCCCCCTCCTCCTCCTCCTCTCCTCCTCCTCCTCCTCCTCCTCCTCCTCGTCCTCCTCCTCCTTTCCTCTCCTCCTCCTCCTCTCCTCCTCCCTCCTCCTCCTCCCCTCCTCCTCCTCTCCGCCTCGCCTCCGCCTCCGCCTCCGCCTCCTCTCCTCCTCCTCCTCCTCCTCCTCCTCCTTCCTCACTCCTCCTCCTCCTCCCTCTTACCCCCTCCTCCCCCCCCACACAGTGCGAGTGCAAAGCTCGCGCAGGGCAAGGGGGACACAGCAGGGCCTAATAACGCCCTACGCCATGGATCACGGCACTGCTACTCGCACGTTGGCGTTCATGAGTGACACTGAGGCCGTAGCTGCCGTGCCCTACAAGCCCAGACCGTTACTTGGCGAGTCTGCTGCGAGTGGCTCCTAGTGCCGACGCGAGATCAGATCGATACATCTAGGCCGTGAGCTCTAGGCAGCCGTTGAAACAATACGCTGGGAACGGTGCGCTGCCGCAGCAGCAGGCCCCGTTCGATTTAACACGACGCGCGACGAGGAAAGAAGAGGAATGAGGAGCAGGATGGGACACGATGCCTGCGCAGGTAAAAATTAGGAGGCACAACGGGCACTTGTCAGGACACTGGTACTCCCTGGCCCAGGCCTCCTTCAATAGTACAGGGTTCCCTGCGGCACGAACGCGGCGGATCGCAGATGGCGCGCAATCGCTTGCACACACTCCCCGGAGTCCACAGACCAGAACATTGCCGAGAGATCCCATGAGGCGGTCATCACCTGCTGTCCGTCGAGCGAGAACAGAGCCGATTTCACAGGAACTCCATGGCCCGCCAAAGTGTGCAAGCACTCTCCCGAGCCCGCCAGCCAAATCTTGGCCGTGCAATCTATGGAAGAGGTGAGCACTTTCTGCCCGTCTGGCGAGAACATTGCCGATGTCAAGTCGCGGCTGTGGCCCAGTAGCGTGCGCAAGGCCTCCCTGGAGCTCGCAGACCAGATCTTCGCTGTGCTGTCAGCCTGAGGGGGAACGAGAAAGGGGGAACTGGCCAACAGGGGGAAACATCGACCTGGAATCGGCGATACATCCTCGATAGATCGGCGATAGGCCCCCGACGGCAGGGGTCGGCTACCGGGCCCGAATCGGCGATCGCTGGGCGATTGGGGGTTGCTGCATCCCCCACTGAGCCTATCCTGAGCATCGTTTATCCGACCCCCATCCCCAGCGGCGTGGCCTGGGCCCCACTGGCCGAATTACCCCCCAAGATGGGGACATAGGCCGTTCCCTTCGGGTTTCGAGGGGTGTATGCCCAACTGGGGTGGTAAATTGGTGGGGTCTCGAAGGGGATGGGGATGGGGATGGGGATCGGTTAAACGGTACTGAGCACATCCCCTCCCCAACATTGCCCCTGACAGCCGACGCGGTCACCACGAACCGCCCATCCGGCGAGAAGACGGCGGAACGCACAGCACGCTTGTGACCAGCCAGCGTGCGCAGGCACTTGCCCGAGTCCAGCGACCAGACCCTCGCCGTGCCGTCCTCAGGTGGCGACATCCAGACCCTACAGTCGAATCTCTTGAAGGGGACAAAAAAATCCCCCCCAATAACAACCACCCCGACAAGCGAGGCCGTTTAGCAAACGCACCCAAAAAAAGAATCGAACAGGGCAGTGCTTTTGGTAAACGCCCAGGGCCGTCTAGTGACCGCCAATTGTCTCTTGAACCTAGGCCAGACAAATATCGCTCAAGAACACGAGACCTTCCGCCGGCCAAAACGCACAGAACATCGAAGGGTACCCTCCCAGGATGCACAAGAGCATCTAGCAAACGCGAAGAACATGAGGGTACCCTCCCCCAAACCGACCACGATCTTATACCTCGGTGCGACTGTACCCCCGCCAGCCAACGATCTCCTGAGTCGATGGGCGTCGGGGGGTAGGGTTCGGGTTTCGACACGTGTTCGACGAATTCCGAGCCCTACCCCCGACGCCCATCGAATTGCCTGAATCGTTGATCGGCGAGAGCAGGGGTCGGAATTCGCCGTCGAATCCTGCGAGGCGGTCGCAATTTCCCGGCCATCCGGCGAGAGCACGACAAACAGCACGTGATCCCGATGGCCCTCGAGCGTGTGCAGACACTCTTGGACGCAGAAGATCTTCACCGACCCGTTGGCGCAGACCTGCGCGGCATCTGGCTGCGCTGTTAGCACCAAGGTCAACTCGCAGCCGCTCTCAACGCCGAGGTCAGCCAGGCACGCTGTTCCGCGGAGCTCCTCCTCTCCAAAGAAAAGCCGCCTGCTGCTGCGAGGCGTCACGTCCTGCGCCGGCATTGCGGCGAGCACATCCAAGAGGCACCAGCAAGGGTCGGCGTCCAAAACCACCACCTGGCGCCCAGAGCAAGTCACCACCGGAACGCGCAACATGAGCAGAGGGCCGCGGGGAATGGGTCTGACAGTTTCACTGCTTGGCGTGCGGTAGCTCAAATACCCTGGGCCAGAATGGCTGCGGATCTGTCTATACGATGCAATACTTTATGCCCGACTTGTCTATCAGGCCCTACTCGTTTCTGCGGCCCCTCGAGGAACTTTCAACGAGAATGGACGAGGGCTCTAGATAATGCCCGAATGGGACATACATGAGAGCAAGATCAAAGGGGCTCCACCGAATTATGAAGACGGACGGACCACCCCCTGCGCACCCCCTTTGGTGTCGAGAAAATGCCGCGCCCGCAACGCCCTGCGAGCCTCCAGCGGATACGGCAACCACCCACTGCGCACCCCGTCGGGTGTCGAGGATATGTGACGCCTGCCACACCCTGCCAGGGTCCTGTGGGGTAGAGCGATGAGCCAAGGAGCTTGGGGACCACCCCCTGCACATCCCCTCTAGTGTCGAGAAAGTGCCACGCCCGCCACGCCCTGCGAGCGTCCAGTTGGGTCGGACGATGGCCCAACGAGCCGCGCGACCATCTCCTGCGCAACCCGTCTGGTGTCGAGAGAGTGCCACGCCTGTCACGTCCTGGGAGCGTCCTGTCGGGCCAGACGGTGAGCCAGCAAGCTCGACAACCACCCCCTGCATACCCCGTCTGGTGTCGAGGAAATGCCACGCCTGCCGCGCCATGGGAGCGTCCTTTTTGGTCGGACGATGAGCGAGCTCGACAACCACCCCCTGCACATCCCCTCTGGTGTCGAGCAAGTGTCACGCCTGCCACGCCATGCGAACGTATTGTTGGGCCTGGTGATGAGCCACCGAGCTCGGCAATCACCCATTCGCAACCCCTTTGGTATCGAGAGAGTGCCACGCCTGCCACGCCCTGCACATGCGCGCGCGTCTATGATGTGTGGTGTGTCTGTGTGCGTGCGTCTGGTGTGTTGCCTGATGTGTGCAGGCGAGGTGGGGAAGGCTATTGTGTATTGTCTGCTGTATGTGAGGGTGCTTAAAACAGAAGGAGAAGGAGAGCGGAGAAGAAATCTGGGTGCGACGCGGGAGAACACCAAAGACTCACTTAGCACGTGAGGAAAACATGCAGGAGTCAGCAAGACCGCCTTCAAAGCAGCCTGAGAGGCAATCAATAATGGCCAATCTGATCACCAGTTGACCCCCCCCCCCCCCACACACACACACACACACACACACAAACACATACACCTACACGCAGACACACGTACACACGAGGACACCAGTTTATGAATCAAAAGGCGAGGCTAAGTAGAACACCGTGATGCTGCACACACATATACACTTACCTCAAACTGTTAGCTGGGCTGCTACAAGAGGCAGCCAGAGAACTCCGACGAACTGCAACGAGCCCCCCGCTAACATTGGACCGGGTAGGTGTGATCGCGCCAAGGCTAGGCCTCCGATGCCAGTCTGAGAAGGAGCATCGCACCCAAGCTCGGGTTGACAAAACTGCCTAGCCATGCGTATGAAGCGTGTGTGTGTGCGTGTTGGGCAGGCTGTGAGCATGTGCGCGCGAGGCCGCAACAATAAGACCGCAGGCATCGTCGCGGGAAGGACGTCCTCAAGGTTCTCTATGCGACCGATGTAGTTCTCAGACATGTCCAACATGCGTAGCTCTCGGTTCCCCTGCAACGGACAATTTACCAATCAGAGTGAGACGGATGGATGGGAATGAGAGAAGGAGCATCAGAAAAAAGAAGAGAAAGGCTGGAGGAACGAGATCATCCTCATCCTCTCCAGACCTCAGATGGTACCTACAAGAGTTGAAAATAATCGGCCGGAACCTGTTCAACTATTTGACTTAATGGAGGTGTACATGAAATTCTTCGAAGAACCCCCTGCACCCCTCAAACATTTCTTCTTCCTCCGGCCTCTCCTCCTCGTCCTCATCATCCCTCTCTCCGGTCAAGGCGAAGTCTTCCAACGTTCCCTCCTGTGCAGGCCCTCCCAGGATCTTGCAAGGCTAATCTGCCAGCATTGGCTGTGTTCGCAATACTCCTGCTTCTCAATCATCCCATCCCCATCCCTTTTTGCATGCTCCTCGTCCTCCTCCGCCTCCTCTTCCTCCTTCTCCTCCTCCTCCTCCTCCTCCTCCTCCTCATCCTCATCCCCACCATCATCATCAGTACCGCCATCATCACAATCAACAACATTATCTCCAACTTGTGCCTCCGTGGCCTCCACGTTCTCGTCGAACTCCCCCACCCATCTCACTTTTCCTCATCGTCCTCTTCCTCCATGCCCAATTCATACCCGATACATCCGTCCCCTCTTCGTTCTGACCGTCACCCTTTTTCCTCACTGCTCCCCCCCTTCCCTTCCTCCTCGAAATTGTCTTTCGATTCATCGCACTCACCTCTCCTGCTTCTTCTCAACATGCTCCTCCTCCTCCTCCTTCTCATCCTTCTCCTCCTCCTCCTCCTCCTCGTCCTCATGGCCGCCCTCCCTCCTCCCCCTCTTTCTCCCGCTGGTTGTCCTCCTCCCGACCTTCTCCTCTCTCCTGCCTGCTCCTTCCTCCTACCTCCGCGCGCCTGCCAGATCCAGGCGCCGGAGTAGAATCCCCTTAAGAACCTGCTGATGCGACGGCCTCTTCATCTTCCTCATCCTCCGGATTATCATCATCGGTCTCCTCATCCCCCACCGTGCTCCATCCAGGCCCTCTCCTTCTCTTCCTCCTCATCCTCCTCCTTGCCGCCACCCCGCCTCCACGGTCCTCATCGTCCTCCGCCATCACAGTTGATCTCTCCCCCGGACAGCTGGCCCCCCTTTCGGGATGCGGTCTGGCGTTTGATTTGCGCCACGTGCTGGAACAAAATGGTCCCAGTAAGACCCCAAGAGATCTCCTGAAGACCTTCAAACGGGCGCACGATCACATGGATTACGGATCCGTGGATCTGGCGCGTGGGCGCCAGTCCCAAGCATCGGGGAACATAGAATCCGAAACACGCGGGCAATGCCGCTTGATTTGGCGATGGAGCGCGCAGAGTACGTACACAGACGGAACCCGTCGCTGGCTCACGCGCCTTAATCCATGCTTCATTTCTTCGATGCTTCCAGTACCCGCCCCAGGCGACCACGGTCAAACACACACGCTGCAATGCTCTTCAAGTCACCCCCTGGTCTGGCGCCCCCTTTCGTCGAGAATCGACCCCGGGGACATGTCCAAAAACTCGTCCTGACTCGGGGACCTACTGACCCGGGTCCATCCCAACCCTGGCCAATCAAGCTTTGCAAGATTCTGCAAGAGTCCGAGCTCTGACGGACCGCCGTGTTGGCATCGACCCCCGCCTTTCGAGCCCCGAGCAATGCTCTTCAGAACGCCCAGAGATCTGGCACACCCTTCTTCAAGAATCGACCCCGGGGACATGTCCAAACCCGCGTCCTGGCCATGATCCGAATGCGAATCCAGCCACATCGGCGATGGGACCCCGGGCGGCCAGGCCCCTGCCCCCGCCTCGTCCTCCAAGTTCTCCAGCCTCGAAAAACTGAAACCTCAGACGAGCTCGCCAGCATGGACTCCAATCAATGAGAACTGCGTGGTGTAATAAACCAATGATCGCTAGAATGCATTGCCAACTCCACTGCTCGCACAATCACCCCGCCCTCCCACCCGCAACCTGCTGCGCACAAACAATATGATGACTCCTTGGAGCTGGCTGGCACATCTCTGCGACTGCGCTAGCGCGCGCAAGGTCGCGCACGGAGCGGCCACCTGGTTTGGCACAGCTGACGCGGCCGCAGTAGCGCTTACCAGTGGCAACTTCCCAACGCGTGTCAAAAAAAACGGGCACCTCAATCCGGGCATAAGACTCGGGCGAGCGCGGAATCATGAGTATGCCGGAAACGACGGCAACGAAGATGATAGTAGCGACGGTGGTGGCGATGATGACGATGACGACCGAATGCCAATGACGGCGTCGATGCTGGTGACAATGATGGCGATGATGATCGTGTCCACGTGCTGGTGATGAACGCGCTTGAATGATGTTGGCGGCAATGGCGGCGATTGTCGGTGATCATGACACGGTGCGGGGGCACTGCTGAGGGTGATGGTGAGGAAGCGCGCGCGCAGCATTCAATAAACCTGGCAGATTTGCTGCTGAGCAACATGGGGTGCTTACACTGCGCTTGCAGAGCTCTATCTTGACATGCTTCGAAAACCACCGGTGGAGGAAGGTATCGACGCGCACGCGTGCCGGCGAGGGCGTGTGGCCCGCCTGGTATGATTCGACAGGTTTGAGCACCGGGCGCATGCTGGATCAGCGCGAGTACACCGCGTGGCGATGCGCGAATGCGGCTCCTGGGCGAGGTTGCTAAACCCTCGTGTTTTTCCGCTGTGTGACGATTCCAGCAAATGCGCGCGGGACGAGCATCTACAAAGGGGGGTGATGAAACAACCCGAGAGCGTTTGTGCTGTACTTTGACGTGCTTGAAAAAATTGTGTTTCTCGTGACGTCGGCATGTGCGCGAGAGTGTGCACTTGGAGCATCTGTTGTACGGGACTCTTGGACATGAGATTCTGCGGTAAACGACTGTGCAACGGGTTTGGCTGGGATGGTATGCGTTCGTACGGAAAATCAGCAACGATGCAGCATCATATGTAGTTTGCAATGCGAGGGGGGGACAAATCCGGGGCGAGAGGATAGTAAAATACAGTATTTTCGTGTACACCTATATCGACTCTACGCTTGAAAGAACACTCTTCCTTTCGCGAAGAAGAAAACATGAATAACAATAACACTGTATATATCTATATGTATACAGATGTAGCTCCCCGCATATGCGGATAACAGTGAGGGGGCAGTTGAGATGTCGGCAGGTTGCGAGACTCTGGAGAAGCCCGCCGCAGGCGCCAAAATTTAACAAATTATACAACGAGCCCGCCGCGGGCGCCGATTCTTTGGTTAAACCAATGTGGGTAAGTCGCGGGTGGGTCGCGGGTGGGTCGCTGTTGGATCGCGGGTGGGTCACGGGTGTGTCGCGGGTGTAGAGGACAGAAAATCCACCCCACAATAATCACCCTGCCAAGCGAAGCCGTTCAGTAAACGCACAAGGAATGAATCGAACAGG